TTTGAAAATTTGTTAATTTTACTGTTCTCTTCACCAAAAATCTCTTCCTCTAAGAGCATCTCCAATCAAGCTTGCTAAACATGACTTGCTAAAGTTATTCATTAGAATATGAATAGTGGTATAGCAAGTCATTTTACATTGTCATCTCCAACTTTTGCTTGCTACAATTTAGCAAAAATATATTGATTTCACTATTTGAACACTATTTATTACTCCCTCCGTTCTCAAAAACAATTCATCTTTCATTTTTTCCACTTCCAACAAAACACTTCCCCTTTCTATTAAAAAACCACTTTTACCCTTACTTTTTCATACCCTACCTATCACATCATATTTTTTCTCTAATAATCTATCCATCACATCTTACTTTTACCCATCACATCAGGGGCAAAATTGGAAATCAACTATAATTTAACACTTCCTTATTTTTGCCCCCAAATCAAATGGGAAGGGTTTTTCCAAACGGAGGGAGTATAATTTTAAAATTTTATTATTTTTTGTAAAAATTAATTAATATTCTGCAAGTATGCAATTTAAAAATAACAACTCAAAATAAAATAAATTTTATAATTTTTTGGTAAAAACGTACTAAAATTATTTTTATTGTAAAAAGTAAAATAATTTTTTTTCTTGCGTTGTGGTACTGAAAGTGAGGGAACAACTGCGTCGTGGCACATGAAAAAACTAACCCAACCAACATTTTTCTTCTTCTTTTTGGCTTGCTATATTTTATCAAGTCTGCTGTTAATAGGAAGCCATTTCTTTTTTTAAGCAAGCTTGTCAAACATTAGCAAGCCCTTGAAGTATGAAATTTTACTTAATTTGTTAAATTGTAGCATATAGCAAGACATTTTAACATGGTTGGAGATGCTCTAATCGCATATGTACAACATTTTCATAAGTTCATACATATACTTCAACTTGTTTGATTGCTTAGTTGGATAATTATATGCAAATTAATAAGTCCAATTGTCTCTATCACAACGTAAAACATTTATTTATATTATTGTACTCCTTTGTAGAGGTGAACAAGTACCGAACCGATCCCGAAATTTTCGAAAAAATCAAGAAAACTGAACCGAAAAATATTAAACTCAAAAAGCACTGAGAAGGAACCGAACTGCACTGAACCGAACGGTCAGTACAGTATTTGGGAACGGTACGATGTGACGTCTCATACCGAAAATCCCGAACCGAACATATATACTAAATTATTATTAAAATAATACGATTTTATCTTTTTTCACTAAATAATAAGATTTTATCTTTTTTCACTAAATAATAAATTTATTTTTAAAACTTGGTTTAAGTTCTATTATGTGTAAGTGATACTTTTATTTGAGTTTTAGTTTTTGTATATGAACATAAAAATATTCACAAAGATCTGAAATACTCCTTTGTTATCATTATTTTTTATTGTGTAAAATATAAACCAATTTTTATACGCATCTCTTGCATTTAAATATTCATTATTTTAAATTTTTTTATGTTTTCATTTAAGTTCACTTTCAATTTTCAAAAATAAAGGGGTATTGTTAAATTTTAAGGTGTAAAGTAGGTATATATATTCATCGAGATTTGTACCAAATCGATATTGGACCATACCGAACCGATATTTCAGGTTTGATATCAGTGCGATATAAAAATCCATACCGAACAGAAATATTTGGTACGGAATTGGTACGAGCTAAATATCGTACAATGCTCACCCCTACTTCTTTGGTATAACAAGCTAATTATTATAAGTAATAGCTTAAGAAACAACTATTATTATTTATTAGACTCCTTATTCTATTGTTTCCTTATTATATTGTTAACATAATATATATTTTACAAGGATTTTTGTTCTCTCTTGTATTTCATATTTATATAAGGGTTGAATCTTTATTATTCAATTAGACCAATTATTAATAAATTGTATCATGGTATTTGAGCTAAGGTTCTCAAAAACCTAGACTCTTTTTTTATCGAGCACACCGCCAGCCTCGGCTCTTTTTTCTCGGTGGCTGACCGTTCGACAGCATGGCGACACCGACCGATCCTCCTGCTTCTCTCCCTTCTGGAATAAAATTATTAATTCAGAATCTTCATAATATATAATCCCAGAAAAACTCACGGATACAAACCATTCTGCGTGGCCTCTGAATATTCAAATCGCGCTTGAAGCCAACCTCCAGTTGGGTTGGGTTGATGGATCCAAGAAAACCCCACCAAAGATGATCATGAGGGAAGGAGTTCAACTTCTAATCCTGCATATGCCGAGTGGATCGTGATTAACACTCATATCAGGCATGTCTACTCGCCATCATCTGTCCTGGCGTTCATAAACATGCTTGAGACTTCACCACCTCTGGCACCTTGTGGGATGCATTAGCAACAAGATATAACTCTTTCTCTACCACTCATATGTATCAACTCCGCGACAAGCTATATACTCTCCAAAAAGATGCCAGATCTATGACTCCATACCTTGATGAGGTTGCCACGATTCTCCATGATCTTGATGCCTTGTATGAACATATCCTTAGACGTGATGTCATCAATGTTGTTATTCGCGGGCTTTATATTGAGTACTCTTCTTTGAAACAAAAAATTTGTCTATAAAATGGAGAAATCACTCTCAATCAGCTTTTCAGATGGCTCACATCAGAGGAAATTAATCTTGAGATGGAATTGATGGGACGTTACCCACCGGGTAGCCCAACCTGGTGTGCCCAGATGCGTTTGGGACCTCTGGATATCCCAATATCATTATTGGACCGGCCCAAGGCTTTGGGCTTGAGTTGACCCAAAACAAAGAACCGTTGGGAGTCCGCCTGCTGAGAAAGAGAACGCGACTAGGTTGCAGGAAAAGAGCCGGAAGAATACGATTGCGTAAATCACGCGAATTAGCTTCCATAATCGATAGTTACCTTAATCCTGTAAAGAGATATGTATAAATAGAGGGGATTGAAATAAGGATCCTTAAGCAAAACCTAGCGTATAATTTTATAATTCTCGAGTTCTTGTTTCAATTCTATTTTTATGATCCGCCCATCAAGTCAGATTATTTGGTGGAGTTCTTGTCCATCAAATTGGTGCTCTTGTTGAGAGCTCGAGAAATTCACTCAAAACGAAACCTTTCGAAGAACAATGGTGCAAACTCGCAGTAACGCTAATCAGCCCACCGGGAGCTGTCACCTCCCTATCAGCGTGATAGAGGCCGAATCTCTCATCCAGCGGATCAGGATCACGCCTGATCAGTTCAAGGAGGTGGTGGCAGCCCTAGATCCAAACCAGGAGATTGTGATGGACGACGTCTAGGCTTGTTAATGGGTCAGGTTCGGGCCGATCCATAGTGTTCTATTCACGTACCTATTTTAAAAAAATTGATCCTGACTTGTACCCATTTACCCGACGGGTCTTGAAGTTTAATCCTATATTTGAATCCATTGGGTCTCGGTATCGGGTCGTGTATACCCATGATAAAAGTTGACGTCTTTTATTTTTCTATAATTGAAAAACAATTAGTGACAATACTATGAATGAAAAATACTTTAATTACATACAAATAAAAATAAGACCAATACGTTAGTGCAACAAAAATTGGCTCTTTTCACCAAAAATGTACAACAAAAATTTTAGATTCATAATCGATCTTCTTGTCACATTCCTTCATGTTGCAAGAATGTTCTTTATAACATTACAACTAATTCCAAACTATTTATTTTATACCACTGCATAGCATAAACCAACATGTACATGCCTCTAATGTGGTGAAATAAATACAAATAGATTTGGAAGCCACACAACCAGCGAAGAAGATGAGTAGTGAAGAAGAGAAGTGGAGTTTTGTAATATGTACGTAATATATATTTAACCAGTACGAATTTTAAACAGGTCGGGACTACACGTCCTATACCCAACCCTTTATTTTTTAAAAATAATGGGTATGAGTTCGGGTACGGGCAAACGGTAATTTTTATACTCCTAAACCCGCTAAAAAATTACGGGTATTACACGGGTTCGAGTCTATACCCGACCCATTGACAGACCTAACGACGTCACATGGGCGCAGGTCAGGGGAAAGATCGGGCCTACAGGATCTAAGGAAAAGAAGAAGAAAAAGACCAGGCACTCTCAGAAGAAGGAAGCGGCTAAGCCTAATGGGAAGACGATGATAGAGGACGATCTGCCAATGTTGGACGAGGAAGGTGAGTTTTCCTCGTTCGAGCGGGCTTCCGCTTTCGATTGGTTGGGGGACCGCAAACAGAAGAAACCACAGACCTCCGCGTTCGATCGGCTACAAAATAACCGGTCAGTCCAAAGAAAGCGGCTAAGCCTAATGGGAAGACAATGATAGAGGACGATCTGTCAAGGTTGGACGAGGAAGGTGAGTTTTCCTCGTTCGAGCGAGCTTCCACTTTCGATTGGTTGGGGGACCGCAAACAGAAGAAACCACAGACCTCCGCGTTCGATCGGCTGCAAGATAACCGGTGAGTCCAGAAGAGGGGGGCCTTTTTGTGGAAGCACGTAGACAAATAATATTACCCGTGCAACCAGCAATTTTTATTTGTACAGTGCAAAAATAGAATGGTAGATATTGGAGTACATGTACAAAAGATTTACCCCTCAAATTAATCCACACATTATCCACCCCATTGCATAAAAGAACTGATACTCCCTCTATCCTAGAAATTTATTCACTTTTTAATCTATGCATAAGTTTTCTTTTCATTTCCCTTATGCCAAAGTATGTCTTAAATGTTAAATTTACCCATCCATTTTAATACGGAGTAATTAGTTATCAAATTCATAGTAATCACTATTTATATACATTATTCACTTTATTTAACTTTATTCATACAAAGATAAATGTGAAATGGTGTTTTTTTTCTCATTTTTCAAATATGCATTCTAGGTCAACGATAAAATTTCAACTCACTAGGTGGAAACGACAACATGGATCAAATGACATCATTGCACCTTATTATGTAACATATCTATTGTGAGATTATTCCCCCTCTTACCAAATTTTCTTAGGTCTATCTCTTCCTCTAGTCACATGTTTATACACCCAACTTCATAGTTAACTAATAGTTCAATACGATTACTTTGATGGTGAGAGGGGGGGGGGCTTTATACGACAAAAAAGAAGCAAAGTAAAATAAAAGGATTCTGGCATGAAATTGGGAAATATTCCTCCAAGAAGGTTGTGCCCCAAATGTTCAACAAGCAATTCAGCCATGACCTTATAAACATTGGGGAGACATTACTTATACTAGAGGGGGAATAATCAGGTGAAAAATGGCTGTCATTGTTTAGTCAGGGAGACAATATATTGGTCTGGATCTTCTTCTCTTTAATTCCAATGGTGTAGCTGCAATTGTTGGATTGAAGTGAAGCTCATTCCCTCCATGATTAGTAGAACCAAGCTACAAACCTTGATTATCAGAAAAGCAAAAAAACAAAACAAAACCTAAAACCAAATGACAAAATCACTACCTAGAAACATGGGAAATTGGACACCGTTGGGGGTTTGGGCAAGAAGGTACCAACCTATCTTATCAGTAGACTAACCTTTGAGGCTAATTACTGATATCCCAATAAATAGTTCTGCATCCCACAAAGGTTTAGTGCTTCTATCATGGATCTTAGGCCCATAAAACATGTACACGAACCTTCACGTAAACAAATTTATATAAAAAATATTATATAAATGATTATAGAACTATAAAGGTCCACCAAAGAATTTACCCCGTAGATTGGATGAATATTGTGTCCAATTTCCCTTGAAACATGATCCTATGTATAGGCACAACTCAAACACTATTTCATTAGAGGTTTACAGTTTTAATGAAAGCTAGTGATGTTTTTATTAGTTTGGAATCAAAAATGGAATTAAGTTTAGGTGCATAGTAAATATATTGTGAATGAATAGCTTCATAAAGCACTTTGTGACTCCTTAAATGATAAGGCTAAAACCTTCCTTGCAAAAAAATGGTACGGAAATGTGAAACATGTTTCCAAAAACAATAATAGCGGGAAAAAATGAATACCTCAATTGTTATTGAAACAACTTGGCATATGCTTTTTTCTCCTGCTCGCGTCTATCGGCAATCTATCATCAAGAAAAGTAAATCAGCATCGTGACTTTAAAAAAGACACACACGCAGTGTAAAGTCAATACTAGAGTACAGCATTTTCACCTTCTTCTTTGCTGCAGCAAGCTCCTTTTTAATCCCCCCTATGGAAGAAATGGCAGGAAAGTCATTTTCAAAATGTCATTAAAAGTGCCCAACAGAGATTTATTACATTCCTTATTAGGCATAAAGTAATTGCTTACAACTACCACCATCTTTTGAAAAATGCTGCATAAATGGTATGTATTTGCCTCAATCACTTTCATGGGATAAGATAATGAAAGGCGAATGATATTTCTAAGCTTTTAAAAACAACTTAAAAGATGGTCAAAAGTTTGAGAGAGTGCATTTAATTAAAATATGGATCTAATACCAATATGGGGCTGTTCTTTTTGCATCATTTTAAATGGAGTCTGTCAGTCTGGAGTCTTGTAACAGATGTCTAGAACCTTTAATCTTGAGTCTAGATTCTGGTAAATTTAACTAAACTCTGATACTGGAGTGTGGTAACTAACTAAACTAAGTCTGAAATATGAATAACTAGAATATAAATTTGAAAAGAACAAGCTCTATATTCGCATTGAAATGTAGTAATGAAATATTATAGACTTATAGTTTTAAAATATTTGTTTAAATACAATGATATTTATTGGTCAAAATGTTATATTAAAGACCGTGAACAGCCAAACAAGAAACTTTTGGGACAAAGGGATTAATGTATTCAGGAATTGAGAATAACATAGAGATACAAACTGTCATTTGGCTCCAACTCTAGTGCTTTCTTGAAGCTTTCAACCGCAGCATCTATATCTTTGAGAGCGAGGTATGCCTGATTGATACAGTAATACTGAAGGGTTAGGAGTGTCAAATCATATAGGGTTCTAGAATATGGTTCGAAAAAACACTCCCCATAAAAGAGACAAGCAATCAATTGATTACTCCCTCCTTCCGAATTTAGTTGTCCGCCTTTTTTTGGACATTTGGAATTACTTCCAGTTACCTTATGTAGTACATAAATTGTTGGGAAATTCAAAAATTACCCCCTAAAAAAGCACACAAGCACTTTTGTCGTTAATGGAAGTTAAGTAAGTTTTATGGACTTTTTGTTACTTATAAATCAATTTCCCAAAGTTAAAGTAAAATGGTAAACAATGTTCCTAAAAGGATGGTTTTGTGTCAAGATGGACTGACGAGCAAATTTCTCTTAAAACTAGTTAGGGATAACTTAATTACTCATACTAAAAGTCTTCTAAATTCGGAGTCTTGATGCAAGTATTACAATGCAAAGGCTGAATTTCCTGGAAACTAAATTTCAAGTTCATAAGGGGAATATGAATGGATTTTAGATCGTGAATATTTTTCACATGATATTACCTAACCAGACTATTAATTAACTAATTGTTGGTATAGAGAAAGTTTTATCACAAGTTTTAAATTAAGTTGCATGATCTCTAGGCATCCTTAATCCTTATAGTGCTTAAAATGGTTGTCTTTGGTTGTGTTTGACATCAGCTTCAGAGTTTTGAAAACGCTATCCCACAGTAAATTTTAGCATTAGTATTTCTACGTTAATCTACACCATAAAAAATATATCCAAAATGCTAGCACTACTAATCACAAATGGTATTCCCAAACGAAGCCTAATATTTCATTAACTCATAGACAACTAGAAATAATTTCCAAATATTAATTCAGCAAGGTTATATTGACACTAGGTTTCGGTATCATATTATGACACTGGCCCCCTTCATGCTCCAATCAAAATCGANCCCCCCCGCCCCAATTCGCCCCGCCAATTGCACCCCCAAAGTTTGAGGGTGCTATTTGAAGGGGTGCGATGGGACCATAAAGGCAATTTTACATGAAGGTCAGGGGAAAACAACCATCAATTTTTCAATCCAAGCACACTAGGAACCCAATATGACACTAGGAGCCAGTGTCAATATAACCGTTGCGATATTAATTACTCCCTCCGTCCCAAAAAGTCTTTCCTGTTTCATTTTTTACGCATCCCATAAAACACTTCTAACGACATCTAAAATGCCAAAAATTTACAAAATTTCTTCTTTATTGTGGGTAGAAGTTATTTTGAAAGTTTTTTTGGCATTCAAGACGGGATAGAAGTGTTTTATGGGATGCGCAAAAAATGAAATAGGAAAGACTTTTTGGGACGGAGGGAGTAATAAATTAGCTAGATATATTAATTTGTTCGTTTTAACAAAATATGCAACTACTCCCTTCGTCCCAAAAAATGGTTCGGTTTTGTTAAAAGTGATGCAAAGGAGAGAAATTGTAAGGACCACATTTTTTTCTAACCACTTGAAAGTGGAACCTTTTTTGGGACAAACAGAAAACGAAATGTGAAATTTTTTTAAGGGACGGAGAGAGTAGCATTTAATTAATTTCCATTGCATGTTTCCCTATTTCAATTCATATCCCTAATATTTTAGGGACACCTACACATGTTTAAAGAACAAGAATATAATATGAAATAAAAATATTACTAAAAATATATGTAGTTTGGAACTTAAATTAGAAACCGAACAACAAAATTAGAACTTCACTAAAGTTCCTAACCTAAAAATATAAAAACTAAAGAGGAAGTCATATATTGTTGAGAGAAGTTGAGATGGTAGTGCAAAGAAGCTTGATTTAAATAGTGGGAATAGCCATGTCAAGTGGCATAGGCTACATTTCCTTGGTTTGTAGGGCCAGGCCAATTTCCTTACATGGAATTGGATAAGTGGTAATAGGCGGATTGCGTACCATAAGCAAATGAAATGGGAGGGTCCGGGGAAGTTCCCATATCCAGCTAAACCGGGATCGAAACTTATTAAGCGGAAGTCGGGTAGGATCCTGTAGGGGTCTAGGGTGGCCCCTGAGGCTGTTTTGCCCGCCAACATAACCTATTTGCGAATTGCGACCCGACATCAGCCCAAGCGTTAAGTGCTCAAGTGGGCACGGCGCGGGAATGAGGTTGTGCAACATGTGCCCCCACATGTGCCCCCCTGAGGTTGTAAGATAACATGCTACGATCAGATGAAACTAGAGTTCACCACTAACCACTGCAAAGCTCACCAAGGGCTACTACGAAGCTCACCAAAATGTATGGGAAAGTTCACCATGATTTTTTCACACTTTGAATTTTTAAAACTTCAAAGTTTCAATGCTCACAAACTCTTAAAACAAAGCTCACCAATCCTCACTGCAAAGCCCACCAAGCACACACACACGACCCACCAAAATTTTAGGTTCCATTTAATAAAAATCAAAGGGTGACTGGGACCACCATTGCCCAGCATGTACAACCATTGACCAACGGCAGCGTCCTCGTGACAGGTGACGGCAGCGACAGACGGTGGCAGGCGGCGGTCAACGGAGGCAGTCAGCGATCAAAGTCCAGTCAACAGGGTCAAAGTCCACTCCTTTATTTTTTTTATGGAAAAAAACATAGTGTTGAAAAAATAGGTGAGCTTTGTCATATAGCTTGATGAGCTTTCCAGTTGTGTGTGAGCTTTGTAGTTGGCAATAGTGAGCTTTACGTCAGCTGACCGTAGCATGTCATGTGTGTGTGTGTTAATAGTTAAAATTTTGCATAATTCATCATGTAAAATAAAAATTAGCATTGATTTAAAAATATAAGTACTTCGCACAAAACAAAATAGGGCTGGTACATGTTTATGCAGAGGGCCTTTTTGGTTTTTCTTCTTATTAAGCACTCAGATTCTGTTTGATAGAATAACAAACCTGGCCCTGGCGAAACAAAGCTTTTGCATTGTTCTCTCCATCACGCATTGCAAAGTCAGCATCTAAGAGTGCTCCCTGTGTATCTCCTAGTTTGAGCTTGCAAGCCTGGAAATTTTTAAATTTCAAATAATGTTATAGAAGAGCAGTAATTTTTCCACTGAAGAATAACTATAGGAAGAAGCATGCCAGAAAGAAAGCTAGGACCATAGCAAAGGAAATGAAATAGGTGAATATCAGTAATGCATGGTAGTTTACAATCCAGAGTACAAACTAAATCCTTTAACATTTAAAAATATTTTGAACTGAATTGGGCAACAAAGCCAGGAAACTGGTAACAAAATGTGAACATATGTATCAGAATTATCTAACTTCACTACATGAGAGGCTTTGTGTGTGTTACACACACACACACACTAAAGGTAGTAAAAATATACATAGTATACTAACAAGCTTCTTGTTTGCTTTTGTCATGTGAATTAAGAAAAAAATTGTGGTTGATTTTTCCTTTAAATGAAAGAAATGAGAAGTTAATTTCAAGAGAACTAAAAAGGGAAAGTAGAAATTCTATTTAGAGACAGAGAAAATACTTATTAGCAAAACACTAAAAAGGCATATAGTGAGAGTACTCAAATATTTTGACTTTTTGAGTTTGTGGATCCAGCATATTCAGAGAGCAATGAGTAGATGAAGACATAAGCATCTAAGACATGCCGCTACTTTTTATCCTCAATTAAAAGAAAGATCACACAACTCTACTCACTAATCACTGCAACGTGATAATTAGCGAGTGGAACTCATGTTTTGAATAAACTAACAAAACGTCAGAAACTTACAGAACTATTTGCAAAAATCTGTGACTTGATCTTTCTCATATACGAACTCCGATCTGTGTACACACAAACCATGCTTGAAGCATCAGTATATACTGATTAATATAATCTAAATTTTTACAACATTTAGATATTAAAAAGTGTCGTTGATTGCCTTCATCAATCCCTTCCTTTTCCCAGCAGACATCCAAATACCGCAAAGCCTTCCGATACTTCTTAAGAGCCATACTGTAGTCTTGTTTCTTGAAAAGAGCAAACCAAAGAACCCCCAAAATAAATTAGTTTATAGCTTGAACATTTTCTGCTCAAATTAGATATTGGCATCTTCTTAATAGTCAATACGAGTTTATTGCACAAGTACCCCTTACCCCACATACTTTCAAAACTTTCGCTGTTCTCCTCTTGGTTTGAATATTCCTATGCCAATGCTACTCTAGAGTAAAATACCCTTGTAATCTTAGGTAAATAGCTCTGGTGCCTCCTGTCATTTTTGAAATGGGACAAACTCCCACCTCTCTTTTTCCTTTATTGTTTCTCTTTTTCTTCTCTTTTTTTCATAAATTTTTTTATATTAGAAAGCTTTTTTTATAATTTTTAAAAATAAAAATTGTTTGAGTTTGAAATAAAAATGAAATTAAAAATTAACATATACTTCATTTGTTACAAATTATATTTTTTTGTTTTTAGTCTAAAATTGTTCTTATTTTTTTGAATCTGTTGTACCAAAAGAATACAAAGTAAGGTTTTTTTTAACTGATGCCTAACAAATTTTCTTTATGACTCATTTTATATTTTTCCTTTTTTCATTTTATTTTCTATTTTTTTCTTTTATTTTAACTTTGATTAAAATAAAAGTAATGTTCTAAAAATAGTTTTAAAAACGAAATTAAAATACATATGCGGAGTCTGAAAAAACGAGGAAAAAAAAAGAGAAACAAAGAGGAACAAAAGAGACCAAAAATTGGGAAATGAGCTTCATTGCAATAAAGAAAATGAGAAATAGATAATAAAAAACTAAAATACACAAAAATAATAGAAAAAGGAAAGGAAAAGATGAAAGAGATATGAAAACATATTTTTATAGAAAAGTGAAAATGCATTCATGAAGGAAATCTGTGAGGCATCAGTCCAAAGAGCCCTTAGGGCATGTTCTCTTCACCTTATTTGATTGGTTCTGATTTGATTGGAATAAGATTTGATCTGAATGTAGTTATATTTAAAGCTATTTCTGACCTCATCTGGTCTGGTCTTGTCTAATTCCAATAAGAATAAGTAATAAGTAAAAAAGATAAGTTGAGGAGAATATGGCCTTAGTTTGTGCGAAGTATTTTTTGGCCCAATAGATTCAAAAAAATAAAGACCTTTTTTGGAAAAGATGAAAATGTTTTAATTGAGACAAATGAAGTATATGTTACTTCTTTATATTTCATTTATTTTTATTTCAAATGCCAAAAAAAATATTTTAAAATGTTATAAAAAATAATTTTTTAAAAAAGAATTTAAAAGCATTTATGAAAAAAGGGAATAAAAAAAGAGAAACAATAAAGAAAAAAGAGAGGGCGTTGGTGCCCATCTCCAAAACCACATGGGGCACCAGAGCTATTCACCTAAGATTTGAAGGATATTTTAGTCTAGAGGAGCACTTACGTAGAAGTATCAGAACCCGGAGGGGAACGACATAAATTCTGAAAGCATGAGGAGTAACAGTGCACATTTACCAAACCACAATGAGGTATTGCTGCAATAACTCTAGTCAATACCTTGAAATGATCGTTACCGAATGCCTTGATTGACTCAACAGCACTCTCCCACCAAGAGAGCTCCTCAGGGTTGTTGTCGAGATCAGCTGGCCAATCAGCATACATATCACCATCTTTGAAAAAATTTGAAATTCCATCATCTTCGCCCTCTGGTATTTCTCCACAGTCCGAAATTATAACATCATCAATGGGGCAATCACTCTCACCCGTCTGAACATTCTCCATTGATCGAACTACCCCCATCCCTTTAATGACCTTACCAAATACAACATGCTTTCCATCAAGATGAGGAGTGCGAGTGGTGGTGATAAAAAACTGAGACCCATTTGTGTTAGGTCCGGCATTGGCCATCGATAACATTCCCTTCCTTTCATGTTTCAATTCAAAATTTTCATCTTCAAATTTCAGTCCATAAATGGACTCTCCTCCAGTCCCATCCCCTGCAGAAATGTCACCACCTTGTGCCATGAAGTTCTTAATGACACGATGGAAACAGACTCCCTGCATTGGGTGTCAGAGTCATCAAATACTGGTCAAAAGATGTGCTGCAATGTCTCCCAAAATGCTTAAAGTGCTCTCTACAATATCATGCTATATTATACTCCGTATAACTGTAACAACAATCATCAAAAAACTAGCATTCTAGCACAAAAATGTGTTTTCAATGATTGGGCCCATGCAGTTATGACAAATAAATAAATAAATAAATAAATAAAAATTAAAAATGTTGGTAATACTATGTAGATTATGTTGAGAAAGAAAGAAGGAAAGAAAGAAAATACTAAAGTTATGTACCAAACAATATCTTTTTATCTTTACTCAAGTCATTCCACACTCGGATTCAGCTCGAGTTGTAAATGAAACAAATAATCAACATGGATATGAACTCCACTATCTACATAGGTAACACAACAACAAACTCAATTTAATCTCAACTCCATCAGGGTATAAGGGTCAAGATATACGCAACCTTGTAAAACCGGAGAGATTTTTCATGAGATCTTAGATGCATTGCTGCATTTAGGACCCAAAACTTCATAGAAAGTAAGAAGCCAGAGAAGTTTAATACTCCCTCCGTCCGGGAATGTTTTTCCCATGTTGACATGGCACGCTTATTAAGAAATAGTGTAAAAAATGTCATATTTTCAAAAATGCACATATTATAAACTTTTAAATCTCCTTTTCTTATTAAAAAGCAATAAAAAATAGGTTAGTGCTAAAATAGAAGGGTATTACTGAAATTTATCCTTAAAAAATATAATAAAACAGGAAATAGGAAGAATATTTCTGGGCGGACTAAAAAGGAAAGTGGGAAGAACATTTCTGGACAGAGGGAGTATACCATTTGGATAGAGTCTATTATTTACCCGAAACTAAAACATGTAAAAAATGAAATCTTTTTTAGCTACATAGGCAAGTATAAACAATAAAGAAATGCTTCAAATAAAAGAGCTGGAAATTAACAATCATTTCAAATTTCCAGGAAGCATCAATCTCTAAATTGCAGATGAAATAGTTGTCACAATATACAATGAGATGTACCACAATAATTATACCTCCAAAGTCTTCAAATAAAGGTTTTTTAAAAGCAAAATGAGCATTCTTCACATTGAAACGGACAATTCTATACTAGAAAAATGAATTTTAAAAAAACACACACACAAATGTGCGGAAAACTAACACCATGTTTGGTCCAAGGAAAAGAAAAGAAAATGATTTTCCCTCAATTTCCTCACCAAAATGGAAGGAATTTGATTTTCCCTTATCTTAACACATTTTGTCTTCTCATTTTCTTTTCCTCCACTTTTTTTTCCTCTCTAACCAAACAAGAAAAATGTTTTCCTTCTCATTTTCTTTTCCTTTCCCTCTCAAATTCCTTGAACCAAACATAGTGTAAACGAAATGAGCATTCTTCAGCATAATTGCAAGAGTTTCAACTTAATGCATGACATAATTAGAACAGATATGCAGAAGAATGAGAGTGAGGGGATAAAGTAGACCTTGTAATGGAGAGGGACGCCGGTATTAGGGCCAACGCCCTTCTCGCCGGTGCAGAGAGCCCTGAAATTCTCGGCAGTTCTGGGAACTACGTCGTTGTAGAGTTCCACCACTATCCTCCCTTCCAGATCTCCTCCGATGCTAATGTCAAGAAAGCAACGCGGCCACCCCATCTTCGCGAACGAACACTGTCTGTACAAAACCCTAGCTAGGTTCGACTATGTGCAATTCCGGAGGAAGGAAGGTGTAAGCCTTGTGGAATCCTACTCACTCCTCCACATAGTGGCTGTTTGGCAATTTCTGAATGGGTAAGTGCTGAACTAGTAAGAGGTCTGAGCCATTAAGTGCTGAACCAGTAAGAGGTCTGAACCATTAAGAGCTAGTATATTGCTTAACTATTCAGAGGCAAATGTCTGATCAATTCAGATAAAAGGTCTTAACCATTCAGACTCTGTATAATACTTAACCATTCAGAGGCAAATCTCTTAACCATTCAGACATCTGAACCATTAAGAGGCTGAAACAAACAGTCTGAATCATTAAGTGCTGAACCATTCAGACATCTGAACCATTAAGAGGCTGAAACAAACAGCCTCGTACTTTGTTCTTTTTGGATTGAAAAAGAATAAAGTTATTTCTACCTCAAGAGTTTCTAATTGTTACTCCCTTCGTCCGGAAATATTCTTCCCATTTTCCTTTTTGGTCCGTTCAGAAATATTCTTCTCATTTCCTTTTTTAGTATACTTTTTAAAGCTAAATATCAATAATATCCTTCTATTTTATCACAAATATACTTTTTTAGTACTTTTTTAATAATAAAAAGAAATTTAAAAGTTTATAGTATGTGCATTTTTGAAAATTTTGCATTTTTTTTACTATTCCTTAATAAGCGTGCCAAGTCAACACGGGAATAACATTTCCGGACGGAGGGAATACTAACGTAAATTATTTTTAATTAAAATTTTTTGGACTTCAGTGATGGGCCCAAAATATCAAAATTTGCTAAAGAAATATTTTTCTTTGCTACACTAGTCAAAAAAATTTGTCATCTACTCTACAATATATTTCCTCCGTCCCCCTATGATGTTCTCATTTTGACTTTTGGTGGTTTTTAAGGAGAGTTGAAAAAAGGTAAAAGTTTACCATAATACCTTTAATGAAAATGGGTGGAGTGTATTAAATAAGGTGGTTGAGGTGTAATAAATAAAGTAAGTGGGGGTAGTTGTGGTATTTTAATTGTTAAAAAATGAAATGAGAAGATCTATTGTGGACAAAAAAAAAGGCTATTGGGAAAATCTATGGGGAACGGAGGGAGTATTTTGTATCCTTCAATTAAATCAGTATTCTTTGTATTCTTCATTTCGCGTCTACATCTCCAAGGTCAACTATGAAAATAAACTCGGCATATTAATTAAGGGTGTTGCTAAATCTACTTAAAAATAGTTATATCTACTCCTTTCAATCAAATTTGCTAAATCTACAACAATTAATGTCAATAATTAGTTAGATGATATTGCTAATCTTTTAAGACTATTTGACTTTTATGTTGCCTCTGTGATCCAAAATTACTTATCTATAAATGAACTTCTTTCTAAATACGAGCCTTATTTTTTCATTTGGTCTAAGACCCATAAAATATTAGGGACGACACTCAAGAGTTCTTTTATAATAAATATACGTGTATGATTTGTGCGGCAATTGTGACAATGTGGTGATGATAGTGGCCATGTTGTGATGACGTTGCGGTGTAACGCATAACAAAGACAATGACAATGTGACAGCGGTGGTGGTGGGGGTGATGATTGTAGTGTGGCGGTGATAGTGGTATTATGGTAGTGTCAATGCGACGATGACATAGTTGGAAGTGTGATGGTGGCAGTATAACAATGTAGTAGTGTCAGTGTGATGGTGACAATGTAGTGATAGAGTTGGCGGTGTGGTGGTGACAGAGGCAGTGATAGCTTTCGATTAGGAGCGGTAGATTAATGACGATGCTAGTTGCATTGTGATAGCAGTGGTGGCCGTGTAAAAAAGGCGATAGTGATGGCAGTGTAACATTGTGCTGGTGGCGTAGGCGGTAGAGTGAGGATGTGGAAGTGGAGTGATAATGTGGCAATGACATTGTGACGGTGACAGTTTGACCGCGGTAGAGTGTATTGTGGCAATTTACGGTAGAGTGGGTTGTGATAATACAACGACGTGATAGTTTTATTACTCTTTATTAAATACAAGTAAAATTGTCACTATATTATAAATTTGTTTTTTTATAAAAAATGCTAAAGGATTTAATGAGCATAAAACCCTAAATTATAAAATAATTTTTATCCTTCTAAAACACTTAAGGCCTTTATTTAAAACATTTAGCACTCATTTTATTCATAATCCTGTCCTTCTAGTAATTGAAATCCTCCTAATAATGTTGGGGAGAAAAGATGTATTCGTAAAAAAATTATGCTTAACCACGGAATTCAAAAATAAAAAGCATTGATAACACTAGGGGTAGACTATATTTGTATCTCAATTTACGTGTACCATAGACACACATATTATAATTGTCTATACATTACACGGATAATTCTTATTTGTGTGAGTTAGTAATACATGTGATGTAAATTGATATACAAATATGGTATACCCTAGCCTTTTTCAAACAAAAATTTTGAGGATATGACCATATGTCACACAACAATGCACGCACTTACGGATTGTTTGTGTGTGCCTATGTGGTTCATTGTGTTAGAATGGTATCACTAGACACTAGTGCCCCTAAATCCCTAAGAGCACACGGTATACACCTCACGCCCACCGGCGTTACGGGGCGTTTAACGCCCCGGGGGCGTGAAACACCGCCCCCCGCTGGCGTGAAAAGGGCGTGAGGGCGCCTGCGTCATTTGTTTGACGCGGCGTGAGAGCCATTTTTTGTTCCCAACGGCTATAATGCCGTTAACC